CCCTCGCTCTGTGGGCCCAGGCAGTCGAAGCGCTGTCCCAGGGTTCGGTGCCTGCCCAGGCAGTGCCGCTCTGGGGTTTGATTCAGGTGATCGTGGTTCTCTTGCGTAATTTGGGAGTGTCAGGGTAAAGCAGGGGACCATTGTGGGGATTTCTACATAAAACATTGAGACAACAAGTTGTTGATGCAGATTTATGAGCTTAAGCTCCGTTCTGTTGTACAGAGCTTAGCTAACATTTTAGCCCAAGGCTCAGCAGTTGCTCAGTTTTGGTTGCAGTAAAAGCAGTGATTTATAAGTGCAGACTGATGCCAAAGTGTGCTTTCCTGAGGTGAGCCTCCACTCTTGGTCTAGCACCTGGTCATCTTGTTAAAAAAAGAAAAGAGAAAAGTGGTGAGGTGGGAGAACGTTAGTTGACCTCAGTTACTAACACTTGGTTACATTTTTACTCAGGACTAAATGGCGAGCAAATGGACTGTTTGATCGCTTGAGAGGAGGGACTCTGCTGAGGATACCCGACAGAGTCCCTGTGGGGTATCTCTGTCCTCCCAGACTCTTCCCTGATATGGAGCAAAGTGAAGGTGAACAGGAATCCCAGCCAGAGAGTCACGTGGAGAGCAAGAGCAGCGTGAAGTCCTTGCCCGGGGGACCGGCCCATGTCAAACTAGAGATTAAAAAACATGCAGTCACAGATGACTACAAACTCTCCAAACGCGTGCTGGGGTTAGGAATCAATGGCAAAGTACTGGAGTGTTTCAACAAGCAGACAGGCCAGAAATGTGCTTTGAAGGTATGTGCATTTTGTCTTCTTTTCCTTATTTATAGTGTGGAGGCCAGAGTTCACTCCCAGAGTCTTGTAAAAGCCGCTTGTTCTGTTGCTTCACAAAGAGTGGTGGGTGTAGAATCTGAATATGTGGAGACTTGCTATTGCAACACTGTAGTCCAAACTTGAGTCTTTTCCAGAATATTCTGTGTGAGTTTCCAGAATAATCTTATCAGCTGTGACATTCTCGTGTTCCTACTTAAAAGACAAAAAAGCGGGGGAGAGAGCAGTGTCTTGGTATGTTCTGGGAGAAAACTTGCTAGATTTTGAATGAACATGTTATGCAATACTCATGAAGGAAACTATTTTGGATCTTGTGCAATGAATAGGCCTTAACTGAGAAATATTTAAATGTTCATTGATCTTCAGTCTTTCCTCCCTTTGAAGACTTTTCTTAAGGGGCATTTCTAGCTGTTTATTTATTCTCCTATTTTATTTTTGCAATCCATTTACGGAAGGATATTTCCTGGGAAAGCACTGATTACACCAGTATGGCAAATGAGTTTAGCAGATATTTATGGTGATAAGTACCACTTAAATAAATGGAGCAATAACCATTCATTAGAGAACATAAAGCTTGCTTGCCTTTTGTTCTGCAGCTTTTAAACTTGAAGATTTCCCTGATGCTTTTAAACCACATCATTAGGGAAAAAGCAGCCTAAATGAGAACCTGGATGGTTCAGTATGAGAAGACTCATACCAGCTGAAGTAATTGCCATGGGAATTACTTAAGGATGTTTCAGATGCCTTGCTGGTGTTAATCTGGTTGGCTGGGATGTCTAGGAGGCTTTCAGGCATCCTTCCTTTGCTTAAAACTCACACTCCACGTGTGCTGGGAGCAGGACAGATCTACCAGTGGTGAACTGGAAGGTCTGCCAGGGTCTGGAAAGGGTCTTTTCCAAGAGAAGTCCTGTCTCCAACAAAGCCTTTGCACATCGATAGAACAGGCTGGAAATGTCTGGTAGCTTTGGGTATCAAAAAGATTTGTAACAGAGGAACTAGAAAAGCTTATAATACAATAACATGTGGATTAATTCCCATGTTTCCAACACTCTCATGTACTTTATCACACTCCTTTGTATTGGCTTCACGTAGCTGACTCACTGAAGTTTATCATGGGGAAACTGGAGGTTTTGACAAACATGGAATACTGGAGGTTTGTGCACCTCTGAGGTGATCCATTAATCAGATCCTTCTGCAGTGCTATCAACATTAATTTCTATACTTAGCATACTGTGATGAAGGATAATAGTTAATCCTGAAGCTGATCTGCTGTTTCTGAAGAGTTCAGCAGCTTTATTGCTGATTAGAGATCATTCATACTTCAAAGGGTTTGCAGTCATAAGGGCTGGAAGCATTTTAAAACAGAAGTTGCCCTTCCAGGGCACAATCCCGTGGCAACAAATATGTTCCAGAGCAAACTTCGTAGCTCTTGAATCAAATAGGAAATATATTCCTATGGATACTAGCATCTGTAAAATATTCTTTTACTTCAGCCCTCAGACGTGAGGAGAGGGAGAGTTGAAATTGCTGTGCCCTGATAGAATGTCTTCTGCTTGATGGGGAGAGGAACCTGTGGTGGAGTCTCTAATACCTGTTCCTTTTTAGCACTGATTGAGTTGGCTGATTTCTTTTCAGAACTTCTAAAACATATTAAGGACCAAAGTACCACCTCCCCTTCCCCAGTCATTACATGGCACTAGTGACTAATGCATCACTGAAATGACCCTGTATAGTGTTTGTCATCCTCTCTCCAGCCCAGCTGTGCAATGTGTGCACTTTTCTTCTGGAAGGGACAGAACTGTGACAGAAATATTAAGATGTTTATGAGCTCTGTAGGGATTTTAAATGGCAGATAATGGTTTGCTGCTTGCATGTGTGTATTTCTCATCATTATGGGTTTAAGTGCTGAATAAAAAGGTAAACATGCAATTAAGTAAAACTGCAGCCCAGAGAGGATCTGCTGTTCTGTCCAAAGATGGTCTAATGAGAAGATTACCCAACAAGGAGGCATAAAAACTGTGCTTGGTTAATTGACAAAGAACATCTTTTCCTAGCCCTGGAGGATGAAAATATTCAGAGGAAGTTTTTCCATTGTTTCTTGTGAAACCTGGACTCAGTCACACAAGTCCCAGACTTGCTCCAGATGAGACTCAGGGCAGTCTCATCCAGTCAAAGCAGTTCTGGAAAAGGGACAAGAAACTTGGAGAAAAAACCTGTTCAGAAACAGCTTCAGAGCAGAATTCTCTGTGCAGGGACAGCAGGCCCTTGCCACTGCTCATTCTTCTGGGGTGTGATGGTGGGGTTATCATTCATGTACAGGAATAGAAAGTGGAGGCTGGTGAAGCTGTCACTGAACAAACCCACCTGGTACGACAGGTAAAGAGAAATGGAGAGATGGAATTGCAAGTTGAACAGAAAAATAAGGGATGCTGGGTGGATTTTTTTTTTCCAGAGGTTGCTTGTGGATTATCCATTGAGATCTGAAGTGTCTGTCCTCAAATATACACAGGTGTGAGTGTGCTCGCAGTACCCTGCTCCTGGGAAGGGCTGAACATGGCTCCTGCTGCTGAAGTGTTATAGGCTCTTCCCCTTCACACCAAACTTGCCCATTAAGGCAGCTCCTGACTGGGCAGATGGCACTGCTTCCTGCCTGCAGGTTTTCTTTTAAATGGGAACAGAGCCAGCACAGCCAGGATCTGGACAGAAATTACTCAATGGAAGGAATTTTAACAGAGGTACTCAAGAGGAAAGGGCTCAGGCAGGCAAAAATATTCATCCCCAGAGCCCTGTGTCAGTCAAGCACCACATCCTGTAATTGGGAGGTCCCTGTTGTCGTCGTTAGTCCATGTCCATAATTGCAGCTAGTTAGAATTTCCCTAATCAGTTTAGAGTGGAAAAACACAAGACATCCTCTCAGAGATACTGCAGGGCTTCAGTAATTTTCCTAAAGTACTGTGTGGCTGGTTTACTCTGCTTGGCATTGTGATTTGCTACCCAGTTTTACAATGTGCTGTCAGCTTTGTCTCTGTCAAATTGAAATGCCACACACATTGCTGCCCTGCTCCAAAAAATCTCATCTGGTTACTCACTTAGACACATAATGACATTTTGGCTGAACAGCACTGTTTCCAAATAGTGAGAACACAGGGATTTAGAAAAGTAGAAGCATAAACAAAACTGCTGTGCGGGACTGTGGCCTTCTAGAAAGCAACTGTGTTTTGGTCTCTGTCTCCCTTACAAATAGAAAACCTGCTCAGATCTCTTTCCACAGCTCATCCAGAAATAGCAGTCAAGTGAAGTCTAGTCACTCCTCTATTTTTATCTCCTCTTTGCCAGCCTGCCCCCTTCTGTTCACTCTACCTTTTGGGGCTAAAATTTAACCTCCACTTCTTTAACAGTGACATCAGCCCTGAGTGTTCTCTGCTGGTTTTTGCACTCCTCACTGTTTTTAGGGAGAGGAGGAGACCAAAATAGCTGACTACCTGTGAGGATAAATGTGAACTCCTGGGACTTGCCTTCCATTAAAAAAGCCCCACCAACCTACAGTTCCTTGTTCTTTCTTTCCTTCTCCCTCACTTCTTTTTCTTTTTTGGCACAAATTCCTGCTAAGTGGTGTTAAAATAGTTTTTCAGTGCATTTGATGATCTACTTGGGTTTTTGTGAAATGTGGTAGAAAGGGCTCAGAGCTGGGATGAGGAATAGAGAGCTAGAGAGCCTTTCATGGGGTATTGGGACTTCTCTGCATCTGCAGCTTCAGGAATTTGGGGGATGTTTCAGGATGTAAAACAGTGTTACCATTGCCATACCGTTCATCTTCAGTAAACAGATGGTGCTTCTTTCCAGGAGAAAAAGAAGGACAAGTCAGGCATAGCAGGGAAACAAAGACCCTTGGAACTTCAGGAAAGCAAAGTACCTTGGTTATGAGTGCATGGGTACTTGTGGTGTGAATAACTCCTGGATGACAGGATAGCAATGGGAGAGTGCTTCTCCCTTAAGCACTGTGTGCTGCAGGTGCCTTCCAGTCACCTGAGACTCCTCATGGAATAGTTTAGGTTGGAAAAAGCCTTAAAGATCATTAAATGCAGCTGTTCCCCAGCACTGCCAAGTCCACCAGTGCCCCGTGTCCCCACGTGCCACATGTGCACACAGGCCTTATCCTCTAGAATAAACAGGGAGTTAAGCCATCACCTGCCTCATGGAAAATGTGTTGTGCTGCAAAGTGCCAACAGAAAAGTGTGTGTAACCTGCTGATTTGAAGGCAAATAGGCAAAGCCCAAATGTTAAATACAGCAAAAAGCAAACACAAAACTGACCACGCTCCTTGCCTTTTAGGTTTAAAGAGTGTTTGGTGAATGATAGAAATGATAATTGTAGAGTAGGAGGCTCTGCTGTTCCCTGTAACACTATTAGCATAAAGTTCTTCTCAGAACCAAGGAAGGCAGGTAATGGAGAAAGACATTTTGCCAAACAAGCCCTTCCTGGAATGGTTCTTGGGACTTACAAAGGACTATATAGGGAATGTTGTTTTACCTTCCACAGGGGAGTCGCTGTGGGCAAAGACAGGCATTCTGCCTCAGTTTCGTTCAGTCTTGAGCTATGTTTCTGCCTTTCACTCAGTTGTAATGTTTCTGATTACATTAAATAATCCCACATGACAAAAGCTAACAGTGGGATAGTCTGGTTTCAGTTAGGATACCCTGAAGCCAGGTCATGATTGCTCACAGACAGCAGACTCTACAGTCCAACATATCTGTTTTGCAAGTTATCTAAAAAACTGGTGCTTGTAAAATACCCTGTTTGCTGCCTGAAATAAGATGATACTGAAGGAAAATGGTGCAGCAGTGGGGAAGGCAATGCATACAGTGAAAGTGAAGGTTATTTTAGGCTGATGATTGTAGAACAGGAAATGTTAACAGTCTTCTTAGATGCTATACATTGCAGTCTTAGAGAAGAAGAAAATTATG